TCCTTATCACCTCCTCATCCTTCAGATGGAACTTGGCTCCAATATCATTTCCCTAACCCGCCCCTACCCTGAAGGTCCACTGCTCCATGCTTGCCTTGCACTTTTCATTCTTAGCACTTAATCGCGGCCTGTGAGATCATCTGGCTGATTTCTCTGGCTTGACTATAAGCTCTGTGAAGGCAGGAGTTGGGCCTGCCTGCGTCATCATTGTTTCCCCAGTGCCTGGCACGCAGGAGTAAACCAGAAAGTACTTTTTGATTGAGTAAATTCATTCTCATGGGAGAGATACCAAGAGTCATGTAAATAATACAAGTTAGAAATTTACCAAATTGATAAATGTGAACTGGCAAATTTCTAAAGTCAATTTTTCTGGTCTAAATTATGACTGTCTGGGTTGATTAAATATGCCAACTCTCTGCTTTCTTTCATGTTATAATACCTTTTCATAAGCAAAACCCAGCTCATTAGGTTTATATCTGTTTATATACAAAGTGAAATGGAAAACTGAGGTAATTATCCAAATAAGTCAAGATACATAAACTTTTTGTCCAATTAACTGGGTATAGCAGGTGAAAATAAGATTTCTCTTTTCCCTGAATGATTTGGATAATTGCTCAAATATTTAACTTTGTATAAACCATCTCAAAGTGTGCTCATGAGAGCTGATGTTTGTACTTGTTTAAGGCATAAAGTACATGAGCATTTCAGATGTCAAGTCAAGTACTTTGTTGAACTGGGCATTCCTTACTAAAATTTCTTTGGACGAGACACGTTAAAATGTAGTATTGGGCAAGGTCAAACATTAGAATTAGCCCGTTTTAGGGCTATGTGCTTACATAATATTGAATAAAATGTACTCATTAGTAGATTCCTGGGCTGTGTTTTAATTACGTATAAAGTGCAGACAGAAAACACTTAGCAAAATAGAAAGGACACTGTGGAACACCCGCAGAACTTTTAAAGGCACAGCGCATGATAAGTTACTGGAATAATTTGTTTCGTGTGAATGATTAATGTAACCTGGTGAGTACTTACAGGGGTCTTTCCTTCATTTCCCAAAGGGATACACAACCTGATTTCTGGTTGTTAAAGTATGGACATTCTGGCTACTAGAGAATTGTATTTTCAGATATATGAATAGATTGAAAACAATATTGTAATGAGTGTAAGAAAGGTTGTTGTTTCTGAAGCGCCAGGTTTGCTAATTTTCCTTGAATCTAAAAGTGAGAGTGGACTGTCATGTCCTTTAAGACCTCATTATGTCAAGAAGTCAAGACAGAGAGAATTAAATGGGCAGAGTGTACATACCCTACTTGCAGGACAATCCCAGGACCCTCCGTAAAGTAGAATTGGAACGTGGAAACTTTGCTCTGTGTTTTCATGGTCCTTTTTACACAAACCGAATTGCACAGCCCATCCTTGAGGAGCCCCTTCCCCAGAAAATAGTGGAAGGGTTTGATTGCTCACTGGGGACCATTTGTGACCAGCAGACACCACTTAGCCCTGGTACAGCTAGTGAAATAAAGAGCTGTCAGGAGGGAGGCACTCATCTGACTTGCTCTGTGCTCCCTTTTCCAGATGTGAACGAATGCGAGCTGCTTAGTGGGGTGTGTGGTGAAGCCTTCTGTGAAAATGTGGAAGGGTCCTTCCTCTGTGTGTGCGCTGATGAAAACCAGGAGTACAGCCCCATGACTGGGCAGTGCCGCTCCCGGGCCTCGGGAGGTAAGTCACCGGGGCTCCTCTTGGGGACTTGTACCTACACAGGTTTGAGCCACACACTCTGGGAGTGAGGTAAGGAATAACCAAGTGTCCTGGCACACTGCTGTCTCTGGAAGCTTCCATGCTCTTTCCGAGTCTGCCTTATCAGTGAATTAGGATGTGATCAGTGATGACTATTTGAGCTAGATGGCCTCTGTCATGCTTTCCAACCCAGAGACGCCATGTGTAGGGTAAAGGATCCAAAACGATGAGAACATTCACTGGGACTTGCTTACTACTCAGAGAGCCATCAGCTCAGGGTTTAATATGGCATCATCTCATTAGGTTGCATAATCTTTCTTTCTTGGCCCTTGGAGAAATGTATCTTGACACTTCTCTAAATTAAAAGCAACATATAGGCCTCTCAGGATCTACAAAGACTTCCACTTGGAAGAGTTAAGGTGTTTTTTCAGAAATTGGCCCAGAGAGTGGCTGTGTTTGCATTCGTTTAAAATTTGATTTAGTCTGTGTCGTCATGGCACAAGTTGAAATGGAGAACTGATGGTTTTCCAGATAAATTAATCAACTTCCAGATCACTCTTTTAGTTTGTGCCATGTAGCTATAGCTTGGTTGTATTTTAAGGAAAGCAAAAGACCAAATGGTCATTTGAGAGCCAAATAAAATGAAACATTGGCCATTTGATTTTCTTGCTCAATCTCTCTGATTGTATCCATGCTTCTAAGAGAGCTCTCACTACTTCTCCACAGGGTACACTTGTTCTGTGTGGAATAACCATCTTTGCAAGTAATAAGGAATAAAATATAAAAATATTTTCACCTACACATATTCTTCTTAATTATTAAAAATAGAAAGAGGAGGAGTGCAGAATGACACAAAAAGACAGCAATTCAAAAACGTTGTCTGTGAAGGGGACTAGATGAAGTGTTATTGGAGGGAGGGGTCGCTCTTCATTCCAGTGACCACCGCTGTGACCCATGAGCCAAAGAGAAAAGACTTTTCCTTTCAGTTGTTCCTGTAGTAGCAAAAGCAAACACACAATCAAAAACCTGCATGGCCCATAAAAGGATTGGTTAAGTAACTATCTTTCTCTTATTTGTCTTTGGTTCTGTAGAGTAGCACCTCACCCACAGTATTATTTTGACTGAAGTCATTCACATGTCATACTATTGTACAGGCATTAAATGATTGATATGAAGATAAGGTAGTCAAGATAAATGCATGTGGTACAATGCTGAGTAACAAAGCAGGCTGTTTGAATGATTACAATCTGTGGTGGGAAGGAAGAGAAGACATTTAAGAAGATAATTATTGGAATTAATGGAAATTTTGCTTTTTCCTTTGTTTTCTAAACTTCTTATAATACTTTAAATTGGAATGACCACGGTGGTCTGCTGTTTTCCAGCTGTGTAAGCTTGGGCATATCATTCACCTTTTATGAGTTCTGATTTTCTGACTTATAAAATAGAAAGGTTATATTTACCTCACAGAATTTTATGAATTTTTTTTAAAATCCTGTATGTAAAAGCCATTTAATAACAGAGTACTATAGGAAGTAAGCTGTAATCCAAATACTTAAGTGATACCTATTTCTCATCTTTTTAGACTCTGTTCTGAAATGGTGGACCTTTTAACTATTTTTTCCCCTAGGTAGATATTTTTTTGCTAGAATGTTCTAGCAACATCAAAGAATGGTTCATTCACTTCACATAGATTTGAATGAAGTACATGTCTGAGATCCTAAAGCTTGCTCATTTCTTTTTTTATTTTTATTTATTTATTTATTTTTAAAGATTTTATTTATTTATTTATTAGAG